AACCCCCCCTTCTTCCCAAAAACCCCGGCTTTTTTTTTTTTTTTTTTTTCCTCTTCTGCTGAGAAGAATCCCTGCAGTTCCTTTGGTCCCTGGCTCTCTCCAGAGCCCACCAGAGACATTTTCCCCAAGCCCCCACTCCCTCCGGGCTCTCTCCGTTCCAGACCAGCTCTCGTCCGTGCCCTCAGCCGTGTTACTGTCTCAGTGTTCGTCCATGGAAGGATTTCCCTCGCCCCGTCACGTTAGCGGTTTTAGAGAGGGAAGGTTGAAGGGGACTGTACAAGACACTAACTTCTTAAGAAAATCAGGTTTTTTTTTTCTTTTTTTAAAAAAATAAAGCGGATGATATATACATTCTAGAGAACCTCGCCTCGTGTCCGCCGGCTGGGGCGAACAGCAGACAGGACGTGTCACGACGGGAAGATCCCAGATGCCACCAGCTCGTCTGTTCCCATCACTTTTCTCAACGCTGGGCACCTTCGATTCATTTTTAAGCCACACGCTATGAGGTTTCAAGAAACTGATTTATTTTTTACCATTACCGAAACATTGGGGACTAGCATAAGAAAAAAGAAAAAAAAAAAACACAAAAAAACCAAAAAAAAAACAACCCCAAAACAACAACAAAAAGAAACCACAAAACAAAACGGTGCTGATTCTGGTGTGATTTTTGCTCACCACGTGAATATAAACTATCAATTGTATAAAAAGAACAAAGTGATTTTAGTATAAAAATGCAGGAAAAAAAGACAAAACTTTTTTTAAATTGTTAGTATTGTAGTGTGAATAAATTTGCCATCACCTTTTGTGTGGTGGCTGAGCAGGTCATTATCTTAATTTTTTTTTTTTTTGCATATATCTTTAAATACTGTAATTAGTTCAGTAACAGGTTTTTTTGTTCATCTCTTCTAGAACATTCATAATGCCGTCATGTTTATTATTATTATTTTTTTTCTGTTAATGTTTTTGACAGTTTTAAAGGAGCAGTCTTTTGGCTCTGATCATTTTCTTGTTCTGTTTTCAATGAAATCAATAAAAAAAAAAAAAAAAGAAAAAAAGTGCTTTAAAAGGAGTTTGGCTTTCTTCTCTGCCGGGCTGGGGGGGATGGCACCGTGTGGGGCTGGGGCAGAGGGGGCTGGTGCCGAGACCTCTCACCCTTGGGCTTAAAATGGAAAATTAAGAAAGAAAAAAAAAAAAACAAAAAACAC